CGCTGCTTTTCCCGCAACGCGCGCGCTTTATTCCGTACATCGCCCCTGCGGCAGAGGGGCCCCGGCCGGGCCGTGGGGGCGGCGAGGCGAGGGGTCCCCGAGCCTGCTGCTGCTTCAGCTCACACCGATTCACACCGGCATGGGCATCGCTGCACAGCTTCGGGGCAAGGCCCCGGGGAATGCAGGTGGTGAAGATAAAGCGCCAAAGCCAGCGACTGCACTGTTTCTGTGCTCTCGTGCATCGTTTGGGTGGCAAAGGGCCCCACTTTGAATATGGAGAATAGAAATAACAAGCACTGAATGACCCTGGGATCTTCTGACAAAGATAAAAGCACGGCTATAATCGTGTTAGGAAAGATTCCTGTACTTCAGTGCTTACACAAAAAGAAAACAGGGCATGGTAAACCTACTGTGGCCTCTTCAACGTTTTTGTTTTGTTCAGCTTCGCTGGGACACACAGACAACTGATTGGGATCAAGGCTATGGGATCAAGGCTATTAACAAGTCATTAAATATGATGCCTCTATGGAGAGTCAGGAATTGCAATTGCATGTAGACCACACATCTAACCCCCAGGCTGATTAACTATGAATGAAAGATGACAAATGACCTTTAAATCCCCAGAGACACGGCTCCAGACAGAGTATGACGCACACGTGCATTTGTTAGTAAACCCCAACTTGAACAGTATATGGAAATTGCATCTATTGGGTTACTCCATGAAAACTGTAATGGACTCTTGGAATTTATTCGCCAGCAATAATCAATTCAGAAAAGAACATACTCTTTGGAAAAGGGATGGGATGTCAAACTGAACACTGAATTCCCAGTTCTCCTGTCTGGCTAAGTTGTGGAGAATCCAGACTAAACAGTGAAAAATCCTAGAATGATTATGGGTGCTGTATTTGTTGTAACATTGGAACAAAAGATTACCAACAGCTCAACCTGCTAAGGAAAACTTCATTTAAATTCTAAGGGTGTTTAGCACTGGAAGGCAACACAAATTGGGGTGATTTGGGGTTCTTGGTTACAGCAGTGAATCCAAACAGGGTGCAGTGGAGAAAATATCTGATGAAAATTCTTCATGCCTACACCTAAATAGTGCTACATTTAATAAAAAATACTATCTTAAATTTAGAGCAGTTAAGACTCTACCATAATGTGAAACTATCAGTAGGAAGCTTCTCATGTGATGAGATTCATAAAAATGCCCTAATTACTTTAATACCTTAAAAATTAGAACCCAAATGTGCCAAGCTAATTTTGGTTTTAGATTTAACAGAATTATCAATTTACTTCCAAATTATTTCACTTTGCTAAGCATTTTACAAACCCATATACAGAATTCATGGTAGCTGTACACCATATACAGAATCCATGTAGCGATACACAGAGCACTTAAATCTGTTACTCAAGTTCACATAAAATCTGATTTATATACTGAAGCAGCTTTTCTTAGATTTTATATTTATTACTTTCATAATATATTTATCACCAACCTGCTGTCATATGTACATCATTATTACTCTCTTACTAAAATATGACAGCAGTCTTTTTGCCCATACTTTTTAAATTATTGAACAACCTGTGTTTCATACTATGTTTTGGAACAACAACATGTAGTTGGCAATTCCTCACCTCTCCCAAAGGAAGGATAGGGGGTTAGCCTACGAAGTTCAATAGGTTTCCTCTAGCTTACAGGAATTGTGCAAATTTTTGTTGGGCAAAGGAACTATTTGTCTAAATTGTCTAACTGAATTATCTTGCCACCTTAATTACCTCAAAAATCCCCCTAAATTACATTCAAGGAAAATTAATCTCATTTACCACAAAATGTCCATAATACAAGTTTTCCAGGCAATGCCACAGAAATTTAATAATTTAAATGTTTCATCAAATCTAATCTGAAACTGTTGGTCTGTAAAGCTGGACAAGAAATCTCACAGGAATATGCTTTTCTGTGAACTTTCTGGTACTTCCTACTTTTAAGTTGGCCAAAATTACAACATAGAAAAGTGCAACACAGCACTTTTTCTCACAGCTGGAATTAGGAAATGGAGGGTATAAAAAGCTAAAAACAGAGAGTAGAGGAAAATGATCCATTTTTTTCCAAAACCTCTTAAAAATGTTTTAATTGAACTGGTTTGTTTAAACTGGAACTATTAATGACTGAACTGTCAATGGGAGGATTTATAAAAAATCATTGAGCAATAGTATCCAGATTTACAGTGTGTACAATATGAAAATGTGCCAGCACTCATACTGGATGATAAATGTCAAATTAAGGAATAAATACTGTACAGTACCTAACTCCTGGCAGTTTATACCCTATGTATGTGTATATATATATGCAGTCATTTAAAGACACAATCATGTAGCTCCACCTTTCAGTGAAGGAAATGTGATGTCATTTAGGTTCCTGCTGCGGCAGGGGGATTGGACTAGATGATCTTTCGAGGTCCCTTCCAATCCCTGACATTCTGTGAATCTGTGTGATTCTGTGAAAGATTAAAGACTGTTTAACAGTTACTGAAATGCAGATCAGTTGAATATTCATATTTTGAAGATGTCAACCTTAGAAATACTGAGGCTTACTTGGGAGTGCAAAAGCTATGTGTACAGAAAACTCATCATAGCCTTGTCTTTATCATTAGTAAAAAACATTTTGTCTTGTGATAAGCGTACACTAAAAAGTAAAGGAAACAGCATGGGTTTCAAAGGACTGAAACTGATCCACGACATATATATTTCTGTACTGCACAAAATCAGAGCCTCTTGTCAATTGCAAAACAAAACTGCACAAACTGAAAAAACTGGCAACTGCTACTGTAACTTACAATGTTGGTATGCATTTTGTATGCTTATATACTTTTACGGGTCCCAAGACACATAGTCTGTTAGAATCAGCACAGAACTCAAATAGCTATACAATTAAGAGGCAAGTTGAACAGAAACAAAAAGCTGATAAAAAAAAATTTCCAGACATGGTGTTACCTGATCCTCCATAGGGGCAATAGTTGTTTTTACTAAGGTGGTCCAATGAACAGCTGAAAAGGTCAGAGTGTGGAGTTTTGGTTTTGGTTTTTTTTTTTTTATTTCCCATGGAGTCTTCTAAATCCACACTTGCAAAGGGTATTCTGGCAAACTTTTCTATATGGAACTGATATTGATGACCTGGACTGCTGCTCAGTGCAGGAAGCGTACTGGACACAGAAAGTCCACTTGCTGCATTACAAGGGAAGAGGGGTGAAGGTCCCTACACCATGGCTGCTTATCTGCACTGTGAAAATTTCACCTGTACACTAGCGCATTGTTTATGTGGGCTCTGCATCAAAGAGCCAGCCTTCTGGTGGGAAATAATAATTTAAAGCACAAATAATACATTTCACCTAGAAATAATCTGTCTGTATTCATTACACTCACCTGTAATGAATATGCAGATTTCCACAGAACATAGGGCAAATTCAAACAGCAATAAGCAGCTGGAAGCCTCCCATGAAAGGAATCTTCTATTGCACAAGCCACTGCACAGCACCTAGAGGAGGGTGGGGCCTGGTTAATTCCTATCTGTTACCTGAAAGCTGAATGTAAGGGAAATTCCATCAGTATCATAGGAAGAGCAGTCTGAAATTTTCAGCAGATATCAGTCATTCTGTCTTAAAGTAATTTAAAAATAATGAAATAAGAATTTGACTTGGATTATCACCACATCCATTTTACAATGTAGTACACTGAGATTGTAGGAGGCCTATCTTATATGTCCCATTCAATTTTTTTTACATTAGAATGCCTTTTTTTTAATTAGTCCACAACCCAGGTTTACTTAACAGGTATCACAATTAATGCTTTAGAAGTAGAAAAGTACTTAACAGAAAAAAATAATGTAACTTTTCCAGAAAAAGAAGCTTTAGAGGACTGCTTTACACAGTTGACTTTTTAAAGTGGGCAGTCAGTAGAACACTTTTGTGAGTAAAATAAACAGAACTTTAAAACCTTTAGGAAATAAAGTCCTTTCTCCTACAAAGGATGAGATTCAATAGACAGTACTGAAAACAGATTAATCTATGAGGAACTTTATATTAATCTTTTAGGTAAATTTTGGTAGCAGTTGGAAAGAAAAATTTCTCAGATAAAAAAATATGAGAAATAAAATATGATCTTACTTTTTAAAAGGTGACTGTAATCTCACTTTTTGCTCTCCTAATTCTGAATTGGTTATATGTGTCCAGCATAAATGGGGACAAACAAAAAAATATTTTAAAATCTAACTACTGCTAATAAGGATGGCTATGATGCTGTAAGGAGCTGTTAGACTAGCTGAACATCTTGATATCACTTCACTTGCAAAAGCATGCAAAAAGAACACTGAAAACAGGAGTTGTCTCCATCTTTTACTCTTTGCTCTTCATTTCTGGGTCTTGTATGGGAGGGGCAAGAAAAATAGGCTTCTAGAAAGCAGAATGTCTTTGATTTTCCTGTAAAAGGCTGGAAGTAAAAAGCTGTAAACAAAACACCCACACACTGTTTGGCACACTTGAAGTAAATCCCTCTGCCATCTTAAGAGAAATAAGACTTCTTAAAATTATCATTCTGATTATACTATTAGCTTCTTCACTGTTGATGGTAACTAGTGTATTGAGCAAATACAGTCATAGAGAACATTTTATGACAATACATTATTGTATTTCTTTTTTATAAGACAGTGATGGTCAGGAAAGTTAATACAGAGACTGGTGTTCCTTCTGTAGGTACTCTGGACAATTTCAAAGTATTTGAGCTGTGTTAACTGAGCAAGATTGCCAGACTGAAATTGCTGGATACAAAATCTCTTAACAAACCCCCCCCACTTTAAAAAATTAATTTCACAACAAATACCATGTTTAAAAAAGCGTACATTTTATTTTAAGGGAAGTAATCAAGTATTAGACATATGATAACCAATTTTACAAAAGCTCTTGTATTTGCAAAGTAAAAATCAAACACGAGTTTCATACTTGTTCCTTTCTTATGTTCTCCAAGTGAATAAATACCAGTACAAAGAGTAAATTCCTTTGTTTTACTCGAAGATAGACGTTACGCTGTGAAGTTTCATATTGAAAGCAAATGCTTATTTTACATTTCAGTTACCCAGAAGAAAATTTTATGATCTCCTCCGACTGCACATAATGGAAGAGTTCTGTGCCACGTCAAACCAGATCCTACAGCTGCAGTGCCAGCAAGAATGGGCTTTAAGAAAAAAGAGAGAGAAATATCAATCCAGCTTCCCATAAAAATGATTTCTATACCACATATAGGAAGTTGCATAGACATATAAACAGCATAGATTTAGTACTCCTTAACAAATACAGTTAAAATACAACAGAAATCTAACTGAAAAATCTGATTATCTGCTATTTAGTTCCAGTAGCTACTTGCTACATTGAAGTAAGAAAAAGCAAAATATTCCATGATGACAAATTGTTTCAACTATTTTTATTATTAACATTATTATTATTTTAAAGGCATACTTTCAAACTTAGAAACCTTTTTAAATGAAATTACTTCCTGTTATTTAAGCATACTCAAAACTAATATGTTCGGAGGTAATAAGCATTACAAATGTATAGCAACTCCAGCAAACCCAAAATATTTCCTATGCTTTGTGTTCATTGTCACTGGATATATTTTCATTAATGATTTAAAATATAATTAGGTTAAACCTGTAAAATGCACAACCAGCTGTTTTTAGCCTCTTTAGAAATTAGTAAGACTGAAAAATTTATTAAATAACAGGTTAAATGTGTTTTTCTTCCCGTTAGCACCAATAAGGCAAAGCAAAATAAAATATATAAATCAAGCAGCTTTTAAAATAGCAGGTTGAGTGTGGTGTGATTTTTTTTTTTTTTCCTTAGCATGGATGACACAAACCAAAATAAAATAGGTAGACCAAGCAGCATTTCTGGATAGTTTGGGCTAGTTTTTAATTGCAGCTTTTAACTATTTACAAGCCTGATTTGAAGAGAACAGATGCAATTCCAATCAAAAGCTAAACCCAAAAATTTACCTGGGGATGTCCTAAATGATGAACAAGCAGCTGAGTAGTTGTCTTTCCTGGATATCCAATGGTTGCAAACAGATTTTCACTCACTTGGGACCACCTATGAATAAAATGAATGTACTTTTTTAAATAACACTATCAGACTATCAGAAGTGCACAAGTTAACTGTATGCAGCTATCAGATATTCCACTAACACCAGAGAAATAAATTCAGAGACATGGCTTGTAAATGATTCACCACCCGCAGCCCCATATGCATGTTGTTGTAAAACAGAAAAAAAACCAACCCAAAAACCCAAAGTAAATGTAGGTAACTCACAAATTTCACAGAGTTTATAGATCAGCTCCCCCTAAAAATTATTTCAGTGTGATACAACCAGGTCCCTAAACTCAAAACTGCTTTCATATACATAGATTTATATAGACAAAAACACAGAACAGAGACATTTATACCTGAATAATCTGGCTCGATCTACATGGACGGGTCTTTTATCCTGTGGATAACTAAAAACAAACATTCAGGGTAAAAAAAACTGTTCTGCAAACAACTACAGCTCATACTGTAAGTACCAAAAGCATGTATCATTTAAACAGCAAAGGGGACACACTGCCTGCCCTCTGGGAAAAAGTTGAGGGAAAAATCAGAGCATTCCTGCAACTTACATCTCAATTTGGAGAAGCAAAACTGAAGTAGTTATCCAGTTTATTATGGTTCAGTAATTACGCAGTTATGACTTAGAATGAAATTTTAACAAACACATAGAACTTACAGTGAGAGATAGTGAGGTGCTGTCTTTAAGGGACAAAAAGAAAGACTATGTTATTTTTAACAGATAAATATTGATAAACATGAAACAAAGAATACCAGGGAATGATCTCTCTTGATTTCATAATTCCCAATGAATGTTAATTTATTTACTGAATAGGTGATATAATACATAGTGCACTTAAGTGCTGTATTAGCAAAATAGTCACATCTCTTAATCTACTGCTTAAGAAGAGAATGAAGAAACCTATCTGATGTGTATAAAAATACCTGGAGCGAGTAATATCCCAGATTAGCCAATCACTTCCAGCAACTGCTCCAATTTTAAGAGTATTTTTTAAACACCAGTCTGCTGACATCAGCGGCGTTTGTTCACACTCTAAGGAGAGAATGGCCTGCTGTGTAATTAGATCATAGAATCGTATTGTTCCGTTCTTTTCTGCTACCATGAGCTGTTAAGAGAAATTAATAGCACACTGTAAACTTAGCATGTAATAAATCTTAATAGTTTTATCAGTAATGTTTAATATCTTCACCAATGACACAGACAGTGGGATCGAGTGCACCCTCAACAAGTTTGCAGATCACACCAAACTGAGTGGTGTGGTTGACACCCGTGAGGGATGGGATGCCATCCAGGGGGACCTGGACAAACTCAGGAAGTAGGCCCATATAAACCTCATGAGGTTCAACAAGGTCAAGTGCAAGGTCCTACACCTGGGTCAGGGTAATACCCAGTACCAATCCAGGCTGTGGGATGAAGTGATTGAGAGCAGCCCCGTGGAGAAGGACTTGAGGATTCTGGTGGATGAAAAGCTGGACATGAGCCGGCAACGTGCTCTTGCAGCCCAAAAAGCCAAGCGTATCCTGGGCTACATCAAAAGAAGTGTGGCCAGCAGGTCGAGGGAGGTGATTCTGCCCCTCTACTCCGCTCTCGTGAGACCCCACCTGGAGTACTGTATCCAGTTCTGGAGTCGCCAGTACAAGAAAGGCATGAATCTGTTAAAGCATGTCCAGAGGAGGCCACAGAAATGATCAGAAGGATGGAACACCTGTCCTGTGAGGAAAGGCTGAGAGAGTTGGGGTTGTTCAGCCTGGAGAAGAGAAGGCTCCAGGGAGACCTTATTGCAGCCTTTCAGTACTTAAAGGGGGCTCACTGCAGGCGGTTGGACTAGATGACCTTAAAGGTCCCTTCCAACCCAAGCCATTCTGTGATTCTTCTCTACAGCAAACCTAGCATACTTTCAAGCAAATATTAATAATATTAAAATAGGTACAGTTTTTCACTTTGTACCAGAAAACATTCTTCTGAACACTCTTCCACCAATAAATAAAAGGCACATTAATCTATACTACTGTCACATTGTTATACATAGCAATTACATGATTTTATCTATATATATCTTTAGAAATCCATGTATATAACTTTGGCACATAGAAGCACCAGTTCTCAACCACAGATGCACTGTGCTTTTAGAATTGTAAAGCAAAAAGTTATTCTTTTAAAATTAAAACGTCCCTGTTCTCACTACAAAGAACTGACTGACAGACATAGCACTGTACAAGGAAACAACAGCATTGATCAGTGTAACTGCAGAATATGGATTCATGCTTACTGAATTTATATACCACCTCTTGCTTCATCCTGTAACAGTTAGCAACAGATTTTACCTAAACTTTTTATATTAAAGTCATATATTCAAGTAGTTGTTTATTAAGTATTGTAGAAAGAGCTTTCTGATTAAATCATGAAAGAGCTTTTTTTCATGAGGAGATGATGGTTCTCAGACAGTTATGAGCAATAATTAAGAAAGGCAAAGAAGCATTAAAACCAAAACTCCAATCCAGTAACATCAAAGTTTGTTTGGAAAAAGAGAGCTTTCACCAAAACATGCTCTTCTGCAAACTAAAGGACATGGTGCAGTAAGCATTTTGACCTGCCATAAGCTTTTCAGCAACCATCAGTCTGTCAAGTTTTACTAGCTTTTTGAAGGGGTTTTTCATTTAAAAAAAAAAAAAAAAAGAAAGAGAAAAAAAAGAAATCCCATGCCTACTCTTTGATAAGGGTCAAAGAAAATACAAGCTAATATGTAAGACATATATATAATATATGTAACATTGTGATAATTTTGAGCTAATCTAGTAATTTTGTTGTGCTAACAAAGTTGCCCAGTAGCAAACAATAGCAAACACATTCAATTGTGATACCACCTGAATCAACAGTTTTCCTAGTTTTCTTAGTAAGGGCCAGATATTGATATTGGTGGAAAGCGTGGCGAGAATAGAGATTTTTCTTCCCTATTGCTATGTAAATATTTTGATACCTTATTTGACTGCTTTTCTCTGTTTTAAGTGTGTATTTGTGTGGTAATCTGAACTATTAGTAGCTGCGTAAGGCAGTTACTGATTGGCACAAAAGGCACAATAAATCCAAGATTGCAAGGAATAGACCATTAATGAAGCTGAATATTTTGGTTTATATCAGCTGATTAATCCTCCGCAGTACAATAAACAGATAAGTATAAAATCACAGTTTCTTTATTTGCTTTGATTTTTCAGCACATATTTCATATATTCCAAGCAAGAACAACAACAAAAAAATCCCTTGCTAACTTCAAACAGATCCTTTTCAAAAGCTGGCATGCTTCATAAGTCTATGTTATTGGTGAACCGTGTTACCATGACTGAGAAAAACTTGAACTTTTCTCTGGTAATTGTAAGTTAATATGCAATCATCAGAATAGCTATCAACAACAATTGATGTATGTAATCAAGAAAGACTATTTCTGATGGGAGGACTGAGAGACTGAGGGTAAAATGATAAGAATGAGAATTAATTTACAGTGAATTCACATTAGCAGATCCAATCAATATCCAGTTACAACATACACTAGCTTCCCAAACTTCAATCTGAATACAGCATCAAAGATTTGTAGTTTAGGTAAGTCCACCCTCCTGTTATTTTAAAAGTGGTAAGGGTGAAGAGCTGGAAAATACAACCTTAAAAGCCTCCTCAGGATGCCAGCAAACACTCATTCCAGGAGAACGTAAAACAAAATGGGCCTTCTCATTTCCTTCCAAATCCCAGACCCTAAGGCAAAAAAAAATAAAAGAAAAGAATTAACATTAACTTTCAGTGCCTCAATACATTCACAAAGAAAGAGACCAAATGAAATAGTGTTCGTGCTTTATTACTTCAAGAAGTCAGTAAAAGTGGTCAGTGCTGAAGATAATGTATTTTAACACTGATGAATTAGGCCAAGCCTCTGTTTAAAAGGGCAATAAACAAATAATTTAACAAGTTTAGTTGCCTACACATGGAATCTAGATGATACATTCCCACTTTATTCATAAGTCAACACTACTACTATACCATAAAGAAGAGTGAGACAAATACAAAGCAGAAGGTCAGTGTTGGTCTAGCTGATACAAGCAACCTAGAGTGAAGTACCAAGCAACTGAAATCATCCGTATTACCATGTAAAGCCTAAAACTGTGCTGTAAATAATTTTGCTTGTTTAATATATGAATTTCCATTTTGTCCCAGTAAGACCAGATTGAGTAATAGAAATACAAGACACTAAAAATGAAGCTAAGGCAAACAAAAGGATCTATGGCAGAAGTAACACTAGCTCACAAGGGACTTGGCAAGCTTTCAACAAATAAATCACGTGCCAGTTTAATCTTTTCCTTTAGAAGCACCTACAGTACATATCAAGTAGTAAAAAAAAAATTAAAAATCAACAATATTTGGTCAATATGGATTGACAGGGAAGCGTATGCTAAAACACCAAAACTAGGTTAGGTGATGACTGAGTTTTCTTTGGATGCATTCGGTATGAGTGTTAATGAGCCATGAAGCTACTTCGTTTATAAAATGCAACAAAACCAAAACTGAGACTATTTACCTCATAGCCACTGCTGACCTGCCTCTTTTCCTACAAAATCAGTAGCTTAGTTGTAGGACAGAGATCACAGTTGTAAATATCAGTCTGATATCAGAACCACAAGGCTGCATACTATTTATATGCATTTTCACACTGAAACATACACATGTATCTTTCCTCCCTGACATAAAAAAACCTTAGAAACAGCTGATTTTTAAGTAGTGTTCTGCCCAGTCTTTTGAGTTAGATGAGTGGCTACATACTATTATTGTTTATTCTAGAAGATTTTTGCTGACTTCCTCCAGACTTTTTCAGTTTATATCTCAACAGGGTGCTCAAAGCTCTATATTTAAGAGATTTCAAAAAACTCTTAAATAATACATCATAAGTCTAGACAAAATATATGGGAATAAAGTAAATATATTTAATGAACAATTTTGTTTTCTTCTGCCAAACCACAACAGATCAAATATTTGTTTTCCCCGTAGAAAACACAAGGTTTCTAATCTTGAAGGATCAGTCTCCTTATTAAAAAAGTCAAAACAAAAACCTGACAACCGTTTGAAAAAATTAAATATCTACTTGATTAGGTAATTTAGAAACATACAATACTTTCTTCTACTGCCAAAAATTTTGCCTTGTAGATTTGTCCAAGTCAAATCAACACTTTCCATGTGTATTTACTGTGCAGGGAGAAAATGATGATATAACAGAAGACAGTGAATCATTTTGGCCAAAGAAGTATGCTGTGATGTTTCCTTCTCTGAAGTGAGTGAGGTTATTAGGTGCCGAGATAGAAATTTAAGCTTTCTACCTCCCTAATTTTGTTATTTATAAAATGACAAACTTGTATCTCTTACTCTGTAAGAATGATAAGATTGTTTGTAACAAACAGTATCGGATGGGAAAAAAAAGGATAAATGCCCCTCTTAATATTTTCTTCTTTCTTTATCGATAACAAAGATGGTATCGCTTAGTTTTGGGAAAAAAAAACAAAACAACAAACCACAAACCCACAAACCAGGCAATATATATCAAAATAGATCCTTGTTTGAATGCATCAAGTCCATGCTGGTATGGAAGTTTACAATTACATATGTCTTCAATTAACTCTTTTTGGTATTTCTTTGTGACTAACCCAAGTAAAAAATGTGCAAAGACCAAAAATTTAGACAAACTGAATTTCAGTTACTCAATTACTCGCTAATCATACCCAAATCAGCTACACATGCTAAGAAGACTTTCTAGTTTTGTCCACATTCCTATCATGTAAATCAATCCAAAAAGACTGAGCATTTTGTCTCCCATTCAAAGCCCTTGAAATTTTACTAATATTACCAAGATTTTATACCAAAGCAAACTAGTGTCTACTTTTCTCCAAACATTGTCATTTTTTGTAACCATGCAATATGTCACCCTCTTACTTCTCCTCCTCCCACCAACCATTGTTATATAGACTTGTGATTTGGCTTGTGGTATTTTTTTTGACATTTAGAAAAGCTTCCACAATAAATTTAAAGGAGAAAAGTTTGACTAACTACAGTTGAAATAAGGGCCAAAGTTTGAACAATGCCTTGAAAACAGTATGTAATCTGCTCAGTAAATTAATTATTTTTTAAGTAACAAAAGGACTGAGAAATTAAATGCTGCAGTGCTCACAAAGTTTAAACTAACGCAAAATAGATAGTTGCAAATGTCATTAAAGAAAATTCTTGAGATATTAGTACATTTCTCTTGTCAGTCACATCCTGTGTTTAAACAAAAAATGACATCTGCAGTTATGTCGAAGTGCTAAGACGTTCAAACTACGTCAGAACAACTATATTGTACATCATAAGCATGAATATGGATAATAACATGCTGCATATGTGCAGTAATTTTATCACACAATGGACTTTAATAAAACTTGGCAAAGTATTCATTAGAACATTTCAAAACCTGTCTTGTCGCAATGGAGATAATCCTTATTTTATATTCTAATTTTCTGAATTATGAAAAATTCTAACTAGAGAACAAAACCAAATCCTAACTGAATAAAAACCATCATTTGCAATAGTAAAAAACCAAAACCATATTGCAGCCTTCACGCATTTCTCAAATCCCCAGAAGATGGAAGTAAAAAAGGGAATTCTTTCAACATACTATTTCCAACCATTTTAGGGAGGGAGGGGTAGAACAAACCTTGACATCTGATACCATTCCCAACCACAAAGCATGATCAATTATACTTGAACTATTACTCATGGCTTACTGTCTGACCTAGTCTTAATACCCAACATGTTTTTGGTTTTCATTTTAATATCTAACTTAAATACCCCTTGCTGATGTTTCTTTTCATCTCCACTGGACATATTCCACCTGTGAGGAAAATCCTATCGCCCCTGAAAAGTCTAGAGGACTATGAAGAAGGGAGAGATTCCTGTTACAGAGATCACACAACAAAGGCAAAGAGCGAAGTTATTCCTCACTGAGCACAAGGAGTGAGGAGAGGAAGATCTCGGAAAAGAAAAATGGAAGTGCAGAGATTAGATAATGCTATGGAGAATACAACCAACACTGGCCTTGTGTCAGGTCTTCTGCCAGCTCCATATGGAGGTGATTATCAAAGATCCGAAGAGGACACTAGGTAGGACATGAAAGAACAGAAGGCTGAAGTGGAACTGTTCAGAAAAAGAGAAAGGTGTAATATTAATTTCTTGTAATTTATTTTATTTTACTGACAAAATAAAGAATTTAAGTTTTTATAAATCACGTAATGCACTGCCCAACTAACAGCTCACCACTGCAGAATCTGTAGCAGAATTAGGTAGCAGAACTCCCTATGCAGCACACTGTGCAAACCAGCCACAAAAATGGTTGCTTAGGGAGAAAGGGGAAATGAATCTGTGCTGCTTAGCACTAGTCCAGCAGGCACAGCCATCTTAAACTATCTCCTGACTCAGCATACAGGTTCCTAAACTGGTCCTGTAGAGCATTTCCTTCACTTACTTTTGATCCATTAAATAAAAGCATTTTCACAGAGCACATCTGCAAATACTCTTTCAGAAAGTTGATCCATGATCACCATTTTCTTTTGATGGTCAAATAGATGTTAATGTTATTAAAGAATTAGTAATTAGAATCATTTGGATTTTGGCATTAGCTTCTTGTAATATCTACTTGGATATGCAAGCATTGATCTGTTTTTAATTGTTAACTGTGGGATGTAATTCTGATTATTCCCTGCAATGTTGGTAGAAGTAGGAGAGGCAGGGGACCTGCACATGTACTATCTCAAGCATCTCGACTGACTGTTCTTTGCTAATATGCATTTTAGAACATGCTCACAAATAAGTCAAAGATATAAACACTGCTACTGAAATACCCTTAAGGTTATTCAAAGCAAAGCCAGAGATTAACCAGCATTTTTGAAAAAATGTGAAGCTTCAGTTTTATCTTTTCAAGCAAAGAAAAATCAGCTGTTAAGAGTTATCAGCTTATTGTTTCCAATGTAGACATAAAACTAAATGCTTTAGTGGGATGACTGTTACTGAGAAACTCAACTATAATTCTAGCAATGAGTTTCCAAAATACAAGGTAACTGCTAAACAAATCTAGTGCAATGATTTCTATTTAGAACAATTTATAGGCCAGACTGTGTTCTAGGACTGTGTGACCCTTAACATAAGTCATAATGTGTCACACAGGAAATAGCTACCATTTCATCCGCATATTGTGAAGACTTCCTAACTAAAGGCTTATTCATCCACACTTAAGATCAGACTGAAATTATATTCCAAACATTTGATTCAGAAAGTGATTTATTTATTTTTTTTTAACCTGACTGAATACTCATACCAGGAGACCAGTTAATACTTGCATAGTGATTGTGAAGTCCAACAGAAGTTGTTGGTTAATACTTGCATTGTGGCTCTAAAGTACAATAGAAATTGTATAAGATTCTGTATAAGACTACATTTGGGTGACACAGGGATGCATTCAAAAAGTATGCAAAATCAAAGACTAGATTCTTAAAAATAATCCAAGACTCTTCTTTATTTTCATCAATTATGATGCATAACTAGCTTGATAATTGTAATCTGCATACCTCAGAAAGGATAAATATTTTCATAGAATCACAGAATCACCTGGTTGGAAAAGACCTTTGAGATCATCAAGTCCAACCGTACCTATCCACTATTAAATTGTATCTTTGAGCACTCCATTTAGCCGTCTTTTAAATACCTCTAGGGATGGTGACTCATGGTATGGCATGACATTTCTTATATGAAAAGACAGTGGGGAATTCTATCACAACAAACAGATGAAGACAGAATAACATGAAATAAAATATCTTTTAAAAAAAATTTTGGCAAAGATCCATAATCGAGTGCACTAGGAATGGGAAGATACAAATAAAATACAATTTTGGAGGCTGGAATAAGTGAGAATGGCAACTTTTCAATACAGTCAGAGACTGAAATATTTATTGAATTAACAAGGTAATACTCAAGTGCAACAAGCGCTGGTGACACATTAAAAAACAAAAGACAAAAAAAACAAGTGAGTTATCGTTGGCTTTCCTTCATATTGCCTAGAGAAAGGCCTACACAAAATAACTAAGACAGAAGAGTATCATGTAAACAAATACATTACAGATTAAAAAACCCTAAAAACAGATGAAACACTACAATAAATTTTGAGACTCTAGTTAATTAAGTTTCCAGTGATACCAAACCTCTCCCCCTGAATCTCTGTCCAGGGAGCAAAACTAACCTTATGATGGACTGGCATTTGTAGTATGTGCAACAGAGAAGGCTGAACTTGAAGTGACTGATAAATAAATTCACAAAGTCAGCATCATGAGCCACAGCATAAGTATACTGAGCAGAGGTCAGAAAGGAAAGGGCAAGTACATTCACAGATAAAGTGGAAGATAAGCCAACTATATATTCTTTTTTATTACACACACAAGAAGAGAGGAAGATGATGTAGTTTAAGGAATAATTGAAAAAAAAGAAAAAGAGAGAGAGGGAAGAAGAGAGAGGAATGGATAAGTCCTTTTCAGTTTTTTAAATCCAGCACTTGTTGACCAAGAAGTTGCCATTCTGCCATTATAAAGGGCCTGACACTGTCAATAACCTTTCAGTTCAAAATGACGATAAGTATGAAGTGGTTATCAATGAGATTGAATTAACCTGTTAACAATCAGAGGTTAATTTTTAGTGTGCATATGAGACTAGTGGGTTTTACCAGGATGGTATTTTGCATTAAATACTTCAAGAAACATCAGATAGTGTCAAAAACTACCAACAGTGGACGGGTGCCTGTTAAGCTTATGCTGTTTTGCAAACATTTCCTATATTCTTTTTGCAGAGGCTTCATTAAGTATCATAACAAAATGATTTGTTCACCTGAATCCTGCAGCCTCCTATATTGTGTTTCCAGATAATAACTAAAAAGCCATCAATTATTTATTTATTTGTTTGTTTCCTTAATTAAGAGTGGTGGACAGGTAGTTGCACACACAGTTCTCATTAGCAAAGCATGATTCACATGTTCCTACACATAATGCAAATGTTCAAAGAAGTGTATAATGCCTTATAATTTTAAGGAATTAAATGAAATATTCCTTAAAGCTATCAGAGAAGATCTTTTCCTAATCATTAAACATGTTCTTATGATACCAAGAAATGGATGAGCTGATTAATTACACATAAATATTATATAGAACTTTCAAACTGACATAGGAAAGGTAGATCATGAAGTAAAAACCACTAGATTTGAAGGAAAAGAATTAGATTAAATCGAGGAAGTAATTTACTTTTCTGCCATGACCAAGTTTGGCTTTCAGCAGAAATATATAAATATCCTAAATTTTATTTTTTAATGTATACGCAAATATTTATTTTTATTTATTTTTACTGCATTTGTACTCAATGTGTTAACACATAGGACATAAATAAAACTGATTCAAATTTTGGTTAATATAACAATAGTTATTTTAGCTATTTCCTCTGCTAGTCTTCTACCATTTTCTTTAAATTTTGGAATAAAACTTTAAAAATAATTTTATTTTCTATTTTTTAAGAAAGAGTAAAGCAATTATGAAATGTATAAAAGAGTGAAACAAGAAATCTATCCTGCGAGTTCCTCAATATCAGTTTACTATATATTATTGTGTAAAGTAAGCAAAATTTGAAAATTACAATACCCTGCCAAAGATATAAATCAACTATATGCTTATGAACAGCTTCATCCATCTTATTACATAGTCATCTGTGGGACAAAATGAAGGAAGTTGTGCACAATATTTAGGACCCAGGATTTTAATTTTTCAATTAATTTTGCAGATGCAGTTTTACTTACAGGAATTTTGATCTTTAATATAAATACAGGTGTGAGTAACTGTAACATGGTTGGTTTTAAGTCTTCTGAAGGCATCTTCTTTCAGAAAAGCAAGTCTTTTAAAGGTTATATTAGTTTTGAGATTCTCAGCACAGAGAAACATGAGATTATTAAATTGCACAGCATATTTACTTACCAGCACGTCTTCACTTGTCTATGAATGCACACAACACTTTCATTCACAACCACATAACACAGACGGCTACTGCAGTTATTTTTAGGCAAAAGTATTTTTAATTCAGTTCTGCTTCACAGTTGGGAAAAAGTCTTGTGAGACCAACAAGGCCAACAAAGAGTATGTGCAAGAAACAACAAGAATTCCTGAATGACATAGCAGCAATTTAAAGGTAAGACCATTGAATATATGACCTTAGCCTTTTCAACCAGTATCTGACTTAGACTGTCTGTCTTCCAACCAAAATGACTGAACCCAGCTCTGTTATATCACTGTTGCAGCAGCTTGTGGAAAGATTGTTTAGTGCATGAAAACTGAAAATGTGGGTTCCTTAAAGATCTCTGCTAAACTTAGTACTGAGTGAAAACCAGGGAAGATCTAAACATGTTTATATATATTCTGTACATACTGAAACATTGTATTAAGACATTAAGACTTAAAAGTAGAACTCAAACAGAATAATGCCCAAATACTCAAAACTTCATGTTCTTGTACTAAGTGTTCTAGAACTTTACTCCAAAGGTATTAACAGATGATGTATCCTGAGAACAATTTCAGGATAGAAACTCAGTACAGACCTAAGAATTATTCCTCTTCTTACATTACTGCTGAAGCAAATTACACAGTAAGCAAGGAATGATTTTGGTAAGTCCCAGGGAATGTATTTTCCATTAGTTTTGAAAGTGTAACCTTTAAATTCAGTAAAAAAAGTCTTCATGCTCCACATGCATGAATGGAAAAAATAAGAACTCAAGTAGCCAAAAAAAATCCTACTTATTTCCCATGGCTTTTAACCAAAGAGTTTATGGTTTACAGCATGAAATGTCCTTCAGAGTTACTAAGTTGAAATCTTGATAGCATACATTAATTATATTTTTTTTTTTCCTTTTAATTTACTGTCAATCAGACTACTGGTTTTAAAACAGTTCTCTTTCTTCTAAGGAGCACTGCATTTCATAAAATAAACAAAAAAAGGCCACACATTCAAACAGCTCATTGCTGAATAAGCCAAATATAACTTTAGATTTAATGAAGAAATCAAAGATGGGAAATAGATCAGAACACGCTATGAATACATCATGCATTTCTACTATTCATTCCTAATGATTTTGTGGGAATATGGACATGTTGTCTATGGAAAATCTGCCTATTGGTCAAAGTAGTATTTCTGAGTTCCCTAGGGGTGATAAAATCACAGATTTTTTAGATTTTCATTTTATGTAGGACAGAGTAGCTCAATTAAAGCTACTAAACTGTGATTTATACCAGTTGGTGATCTACCCTTTAAAAAATCTCATACACTCATACCTAGAGTGATCATTCTAAGAGCTATTCCCTTCTCTCTTAGGAGGTAGAAGATGGCTTAAGTAAAAAATTACTTTTTTCCCCCCTGAGTACTACCTGATCATTTATATAGGAATTGATATGGTGGTAACTTCAAAGAGCAAATTTATAATTCATATAATCAGAGAAAAAACTAAAACAGGTCCTTAACTGAGACAAGTTCTGAATTATAATAGCTATTAAAAAGAAAAGGCAAAGATGATGCTTTCTCAAGTCTCTTGTGACTGCAATGACTAGCGAGGCCTGCATAGCTGCCCTCCTGATCTCTCCAACTGTGAGCTGCATTGGAGGGATAAGAACAGCATCTTTATAGATTTATGTGCACTACTAGAAGAGGGGGATGGGGGACCTTTTGACAAGGAAAAACTCCTGTACTACAAAACCTTAACCAGCGTATTTCAAAGTATTTAATCGTGTTTCTCTTTTACTTCCAGTTACAAATAACTAAATACATGCGTTTGAAGCAGCTATAATCATGTTATTATGAGCTGCTAGTACCAATGTATTAGTATGGTACTGTCCTCAGATAATCCCACCTCCTAGTAAGGCAAATAAATTTAGCTAAGTAAACAAGTTAACATACATATACTGTTTTTTAAACTTGACACATCTGATGACAGAATGGATAGAGAGGGTCTGTACAGTTCAGCGCTAAGCTATGCATGTCTTCTCTCTCCTATTCTCATGCCTTTTATTCCTGTCCCAGCAGGGGAAATTATTGAGTACATAATTCCAAGACAGAACAGTTTTCTTCATATTGTATCTAGTTAGTTAAAAATGTTGCTTTGAAAAAAGAACAACCCACAAGTCACAAAAAAAGTCAGTCCACAACCTAGCTAACAAGACTAGTCCAAACAAATATGCTTATTTATTTAAGCAAGCATATTAAGCATACACACACAGAAAAAGCCAAGCACTACTATTTCAATAATGTTTTGAACAAAATACGCACCTGCAGGTGTGATCATCACTTACACTTGCAACTTCTTGACCTTCTTTGGGAGCAAACACCAGATCGTTAATGTAATCTGAGTGGCCATCAAATGTCTGTAAACCAGGAAAAATAAATACTTTTACCTTAGAACTGACTATTCTACCAGTCCACAGTAGAGCCACTAAAGGAAAGATGTATGAGTGTTAAGATAAAGCTATTGTTTTACATGGAAGATAAAAAAAGTATTTATCAGCAACTGGAGTTCTTTAAAATATCTAATTCAGGTGTAGATTCATACTGTAGGTGAAAAGACCCCTCGCTATTCCTTGTAGTTACCACAGAGGTCAGCCTGATGCTTTTGCTTGGTAGAGATCAGTGAATCACACTAGAACGTTTTCTCCTCCTTTCAACCACTGAATTTTAAAGGTAGAAGATAATAAATCTCAGAAAGGGTAGAATGAGCAGGAAGTGAATGTATGCATGATCTACATATCTTAAAGAATTATTTTATCTCTGAATAGTAGTTTTTACTAGGGGTTCCTGCAAGCAGCAAGTTTTTTCCTGAAGGAACAATAAACCAGCCACTTGTACACTATATGCCCTTTTCCAAGCAGCCAGCACACAAACGGCCTAAGAGGATATGTCCACTGAAGATGGCAGACCAAAAGGCTACCTTTAGAAAAAACAGTGAAAAAACTCTCAGTGAAAGATGAAACAGAAGACAATGCATGCTGAAGGCTTTCAGAAAACAAAAAATGAGGAATAACACTACAAGCAAAACCAAGCAAGCCATACAACACCTTAGCAATTAAGCACAATTTCTATTAAGCATTTGAGAAGAATAGACATACTGCTTTGTGCTCTCTGCTTTATATGCTGTTGTGCTGAATAGGAAAGAAAATGGGGTACAGTGCACACTCTTCTTTTACTGTGAATTAATAGATATCCATTTTCAAATAACAGGATATGAGCACTCATGTTGTGAATGCACGTGTGAACTATCACTCAAACGCAAACATTTACAGTTGTATCAGAAAGCATGAAGTAATGTCAAAGGGAACCTAGTTACTGTGTAATTGTTCTCACTTGAAGCTTCTTAATCATTACATTTTTATTTCAAAGTACTGAGAATAATTTATCTATTACAAAAGCTAACTTAGCAGCATAGCTTTTCTGAATAAAAGCTAAATCCCAGTTTTAGCAAAAATTAAGTTAGATAGATAGTATTTCAAAGGCTTTTCAACTATTTTGGCCATAATATCAAGACTTTTTTTTTTTCCTCTCAATTTTGTTAAGTGTTTTGTACTTATCTACAGACATCAGTCATCTTTTGAGGCTTGCAGTATACTCAAAAACTTATATGAAAGAACCTATACACGTTTAGCATTAAGCAAGCATGCAAAACTCACCTCATTTTGGGTCCAGCAAAAGTTTAAAGTACATCCAAATTCATTCACATGGGGGCTAGGTATGACTAAATAATCTCTGGTTTCATTAGAAAATCTGTAGCTAGTTAAGATATCAGTTTGCTCAATCTGAGGATTTACAGTAATCCTGCAATCTGAGAGTAAATTTACAGACTATTTTTAATGTGTATTTTCTCTCATTAACTACATCTATGGTCTTTTTGACAGAAATCTCACTTAAAATTTTAAGTCACGCAAACGTTTATGTGTAGATGTTGTATCTGTTACCGTTCCATCCTCTTCAGTCTCACTGATTAAGTCTCAAGGCATAGCTGCTCTTGTTTTGCCCAGCAAGGTATCATAAAAAGGAGACAAAAATATCCTCTGGATAATAGTATGACAGGGAGAGATTACAGAGGAAAACAAGGTTGAATGAAACAACCAGTTCCACAGTTTTCTGAAAGGAAAACACACTATCTGTTCTCTAAGTGTAGCTATTCTGAGGAACAAATGCAGAACTGATTAAAAAAAAATAAATCTCTCAAGCATGCACAATAACTAAATCCCCCTCATTTTATGAATGCCTCATCAATTCAATATAGAAACATTTTCAGCAGCCAACTTAATTTTTTCCAATAGCTCATAATTTTATTAAAACCTAGTGGATTATACTAGAACTAATACATCCGAAGATGATGCTAAACTATTTAGACAGAAATGCCAAGTCTTTTGAAAATTTTCAGCATTCTGAATTCAAATATCCTGCCTCATTTTACTTGTACAGTTCTGATGAAATATGCTTTTTATTAAACAACATTTGAAGCAGGAGAAGGAAGCCACAATTCATTTCCAAATGAAAACCTCAAAAGAAGTAAAAGATTTCATGAACATCCATGAGTCATATTTTACCTTTTGTTTGTTGTTCTGGGCTTGATCCAACCCATAAATTTTGGATTAGTCATGTTGACAAAGTAATGGAAAACTCAGTATGCTTCAAGTTCAATGTTGATAATTACATCAAGACAGTTTTTCCACTGGGAAAACAGAGTAAGATTACTCTGTCTATCCCTCCAGAAGCAACACATACTAATTGTCTACTATAAAAGACAAAATGTTCAGAGATTACTTTTTTACTATAATCACATACTTCCTTCAGCTTTGTTTGCACATTTTGTACCTTTCCTGAAAATCCCACGTGTAAACTGTGCACCGTACAATGGATCAAAGTCTTCCATGTGTTTTTCATGAGTTCAGCCTCAGGTTTATGAAATAGCTTCTCTGAGGTATCAGTTGACTGTTACTAAGAAACCACTGTATCAAACTTTACTGGGAGCCAGCTCAGCATAGCTCACCGGGTATTTGTGAACAACTGAGATTTTGCAAATACTTTAAATCAAAGTTAGGTGTTGCTTTTTTCTTGACAAGAAATATATAGTACATTATATAGATGATTGTCCAGCTATAAGAACTTAAGGTGATTACCCGGAGAAAGTGTAAAAAAACCCCAGAAGATAGTCTCAAAGAAACATTTTTACCAATATAATCATACTAGTCCATCTTCTTCCTTTTCATTAATGAGTTCCTCACTATTAGGTAAAAATATGTATTTTTAGCTGTTTTCTCATTATTTTTAACATTAGACCAAGCCTGACCCAGTAACAAAATGCATTTTTACTTTTTTCTCAGTCTCAGTACATGCTTAATGAAGTCCTTAGACTGTTAATTCCAGTGATGGAACTGGCATAAACAAAGCTAACAGCTTTCCTGTTAAATTCAAGCCAACACTTCTAATTTGTATTGCATAAGCACTAAATGATCTTCAGTATTCTGTACTGCCAAAAATGAAGAAGCACCCATGATAACTTCAGCTGACAAAAATCAAATTCTATGATCCTTCTGTCTACATCAGACACTGGAGGAGCTTATTCATATCAACTGGAACTGAATAATAAAGATAACTGTAATTGCTTGTTTCCTTCTGGGGCAACAAAATAACTTCTAGTACTCTCAACTAGGGCTGTTCAGCCTAAATACCGCATTCTAATGTTCAATACCTATTATATTAATGCTCTGTGGTCTCTTTACTCACTACCTACCATAAAAAATTATTCTGATGTGTTATCCAATGAACATACTTCTGCAGCAGAAATTTATAACTGCAAGTCAAGTGTTTTGTGTAGAAAGAAATCCTAAGGGTAGCTCAATCAGTTCTCCAATGAACCTTTTTGTATGAAAAATAATTATTATCTTAATGGAAATGTAAATGTGGCATTTCAAATTTATTTCTAGGCATCCAGTCAAAGCTACTGTGTAATAAATTCCCTTAAATTAGAAATGCATGTTTTAAAGTGCCATTTGTGTTGGTCTGATACCAGAAAAAAAATCTTGTCAGAACTGGGAAAAATAACCCATCACAGAAATTCTGTTCTGGAAAAAAACAGCACTCAGCAGGCTACTAAGTTGCCCCCTTTGCTTCTCTGGTTGTAATATAGACCATGCATTGATAATAAACTAGAAAAGAATAATCTCATTGGGTATATTCAAAATCATTGTTATTTAGAAGTGTGTTGTTTGTAATCTCATTCTAATTCAGTAATTAACAGTTTACTAGAATTTTTCATTAGAATAAACTTGCTTATTTGAACTTGCATGTTAAAAGTTTAAGCTCATGAATTATCAAAGGTGTGTTTGTGTTAAGTTATATACTGATTATTTCTCTGGAAGCAATTAGTTCCTGATGAGTAAAATGGCAGATCCCATTGGTAATTCCAAGTGTTAAGTCTGGGCTGCATCCCAAATCAATGTAGAGAGTCTGAAAGCTTGGTGTAGTCTATTCTGGAAGGTACAGAAGAGTACCTTTTGCTAATAAACAGATGATGTAGGGAGAGGAAGAGGTATTAAAGTTATGAACTATCATAGTGTTACATTCTATTTTTGACATTTAGCCTTGCTTATTCTTGGCTGAGACCTCAATAAAACAAATTCAAACTGGTTAGCACAAACATCTAATATTAGTACTTGGACTGGGACATTGTTTCAAAGGTAGTACTTTGAAGAATACGTACACATCCAAGTGACATAGGAGCTGGCATGTCTTGCAAACAAAAGAAATCTCTAGAAAATCAATCTTCTGCTTACAAAGCGAGGACAATATTTAGACCTGGCTTCTTCTGTATCACTGGTTTAAGAACACTAGCATCTACACTGAAAGAAGGGGAAGTGAAATTGTATTTGAAGTAGACAGTTCTTTTGTTTCCATCTTAGAAATTGGGCGCCACAGTATGAAAAGGATATAAAGCTACGAGAGAGTGTCCAGAGGAGGGCTGCAAAATTGGTGAAGGGCTTAGAAGGGAAGCCGTACAAGAAGAGACTGAAGTCACTTGGATTATTCAGCCTGGAGAAGACGAGACTGAGAGGAGATCTCATCATGGTCTAGAACTTCCTCACAAGGGGAAGAGGAGGGGCGGGTCCTGATCTCTTCTCTCAGGTGACCAATGATAGGACCAGGGGAAATGGCAGGAAGATGTGCCAGAGCAAGTTTAGGTTGGACATTAGGAAAAGGTTCTTCACCCAGAGGGTGGTGGAGCACTGGAACAGGATCCCCAGGGAGGCGGTCATGGCACCGAGCCTGACAATACTCAAGAAGCATTTGGACAACATGTGCCCTCAGACACATGGTCTGAATCTTGGGATTGTCCTGTGCTAGGGCAAGAGTTGGACTTGATGATCCTTGTGGGTCCCTTCCAACTCACAACATTCTATGATTCGAAGTGACAGCCTACGGGCATGTTTAGTGTACCTGTCTGCAGTTATGTACTAAATTCAGTATTCTTTCTTTAAATTTTCTACTGTTTGAAAGAGTTGAATTGCAACGTCCAGTTCCCCATGAAAGAGAAATTACTAAAACTGCTTTTCTTATAGAGGAGTCCAATAACCGGTACCACATGTAATTTTACAGGTCTCTGTATAAAGAAACCTTATCCAACACAGCACTTGAAATTCACGTGTAGAACATTCTGTTTATGAATATATTTTAGATGATCCATAAGCCTCTACTTGCTTTTCTTCAATTTGGTTAAATTGTTATATAAATACTTTTAAATCAAAAGATCATGTAGCTGATAATTAGTTATTCCCACTTGAAAGACAGAAAAGTATAGACAACAGAATTATTTTCCTTAGATGATAGATACAGGATCTGCCCCAGTTCAGTGTTCTGTCTCATATAGTATATTAAGCAAAATAGGCCAGAAGGGCAGTTAAAGATCAGACTTCATTAAAGACTGAATGGTTTTTTAAAAATCAGCTTAGCTGCCCTTACCTTAAATTCGTTCTTGTCCTGCAGATCTGAAGTAAATAGCCTTAACTTCCTGTCAGAAGCAGCAGTACAAAACCTACACTCAACAGACAAAGAAAAGCCCTTCAGTCAGTTAGCACCACAAGCATTGACTTTTTATCAGTTTCCCTTCAGTTTAAACCTGCCAAATGACATGCAAAGGAAAACTGAGATTTTGAAAAAAACCAAAAGCTTCAATCTTAACTCTTCTGCTTTGGCAATAAGCAGAGTTACAATCGGAACTTATCTATAAAATAGTGTGTACCAAGTGCCAAGAACACTTTTTCATGGAAAGAAACACAAACCATTTTACAAAGCTAAATCTGAGTCAACATCAGTTACCTGAAATACCTCTCATAACTGCCACTGAAACTTCTCTTGAAAGAACTCTCATTATCAGTGTTTTAAAAAACAATATGTAAATTCATAAACCAATTTCTAGCATATTTTACAGAAAAGACTGGACAAAAATGCAGCTGTAAGTAAGCATCGTAATTTTGAAGAGGCTTACAAGCTCTTGAGAACATTTTAATTCTTAAATACATATTTAATAGTTAACTATCTTTCTAGACTTGCAGCCCAATGGGTCTCACAAATAGCATCTGACCTACTTCTAAACATAGCCCATACTGTGCAGACCGCTACAAACAGCTTTATAAAGCAAGTCATTACAACAGTCTCATCCTTAGTGAAGTTTTTAAAATAATTCCTTCTTCACAGATGTACAAAGAAAGTACTAACTACATTTTAGGTCTATTAAAATAAAGAATAAGGAAAAAAATATTCTTTATTGCTAGTTCTTGGGAGGGAGGGGCAAGAGACACAAGTAGAACAACGACAACAAAAAAACAAACAAAAAAATTAAGAATGAAAATGTTGTTCTACTGGAGTGTTCAAAGACTTTGTCAGTGATTTCTAAAGAGTAAGATTTCACCCATAAGCTTTAAACTTAGTCCAATATTAAGGAATTGGGGAAAATGGAGAAGAGACAAGGATTCATTGTACTTATTTATTATAAATACCTTATCTGGGGAGGTAAAGCATCAAGTCTAGTTTCTGGACTCCATGCTATGGCATCAACTCGGATTCCATGCTGAAACGTTCTCAGTGTCTTATATTGCATGCCTTCTACTTCTGCATCCTCCTCCTGCAGAAATATTGTAGTTAGCTAATCCAGAAAAA